ACTCGCCCGGAGAGGTGGGAGTGGGTACAATTTCTACTCACCTTCTAGTGAGGCAGTAATCATATATGACCTCCTTTCTTCGCCTGTATTATTATATTTTGTCCGTGTTTTTATTTCAACCACGGCATGTATTTCAGTGCTGAAAATTGCTGTCGGTCATGATGACTTTGTCCGACCAAATTTGTGAAATTCAGACCGACTAATTTTACATTAGTAACTTAGCTTTTAGTCGTAAAGATCTTGTTTGTAGACCATATTTCCTTTGAAACTTATCAAAAGTAAAAATCATACGGATTAGCGTTTTGTTTTGCTTTAACAGCCTCTCCACATGTCTCCAGACTTACCGCACAAAACGTGACACGTGCATTCCTAAGCATACTTATTGCTTCATAGATTGCTATGTCTATAGTCATAAGATTATTTGTGTATGCAAATTCGGTAAATGGTAGCATAAATAGAAATCTGCAGGGACATATCCTGCTACGTAAGGAAAATCACTTCAGTGGCTTTTGTAGTTTTGTGATTTTGTGTAGAACACTTTTCCTTCACGCCACCGCTATTTTAGTTTAGTCTACCAATTATTTACGCTTTCTTTGTTCTCAACCCTTTTTGTGTCAAAGAACGTAGAAAAATCAGTGAAAATTTGAAGAAAGTTAAAATGACATCTGAACATTCTATGAACTAATACTATTATCGTGGTGGCACTGAAGTTACGTTAGCTTCGATGGCTGTCATCTGGACGTTTCCAAAAATAACAAACAATCTAGAGTGTTCTGAGCAGTGTTTTGAGGCTAAAACTTCCATAATGTATATAAACTGGAAGAATTCGACAGGAAGGCTCTTGTGGTTAAGTTGGTTGTTTATTGGAACAGTTTATTCCCGATTAAAGATAGTGAACACTTCTGCTAAACAGCGTCAAAGATTAGCTTCTTTTCTCGTCTTGCTGACATGTTTCCGAGATACTACTCAATTTTAGACAAGGAACGTCACGTATGACAGGAAAATTGTTATGTTTTAAGATTATTAGCACGACTAGATAACATCTCTGAAATGACTCCACGCTGGCGCCCCTGTTAATTTATCATGGTACCTCAACCGGCAAAGAGGAATAAGTTACAGACCGTGAAATAGTTCGTTGGTGACCCGTGCAGATATCATGACCGTTGCGTCATCCAAAGCGGAAAAACTCCTAGCGTTGCAAGTGTCTTTCACAATGAAGTGCGGCAAAGCGTAAACAACACTGAAGAAGAGTTATTCTTGCCGATACAAACAACAGGAATTCAAAACGGTGCTACGCGTGAAATAACACTTTCTGGCTTTGTACTAAAAACGATGAAATAACACAAGGAGAATTAAGCTTATAATGTAAGACGGACAGTTTCTTAGTCAGTGTTTGACTCGACAATTCTTGTCAGCTTGCTCATTTGAAATTTAATCTATTTTAAGAAGTTTACTGGTCACATTTATCAGTAGAAAGATAACAAATACATTGAAAACAATAGAAAGAGAACGGTTTGCCAGCCCTTTTGTAACTGTTGTTTCGTTGTATTGTATTGCTTTCTTTTTGATGTATCGAGAATTGATAACGACAAATTCATCTGAAACATTTTTATAATTCCAAAAGGTTAAAGAGAAACTGTTTTCAGTTGCAGGTCCGTACATTCCTACAAGTATTTAACAATGAAGTAAAAAGCTGCTTAAAGATCATCTTCCTCAAAATGTTATCTCGTAAATCTTTATCAACAAGTTGGGTAGGAAAAGGTACGAGTCAAAGTTTTCGCTTGAAAGCCAAGCGTGACTTCACATCAATCACACCTACTGTGGCCAATCAGGCGTTGCACAAGGGAACCCATTCAATTGCTGTCACTAAAAAAAATGTTTCTATCGAGAAGAATAACACTCGTTTAGAATATTTCTAACTTGGGTAATACAATATGTATATCAGCGGTTATATCATTTGATGGGTCAGACAAGTCTGACTCTAGTTATAATCACCATGCTGTATGACAATTTATTTACCGGTTCAGAAATATTGACGTCATCATGGAAAAAGAAACATAAAGTAAACCATTGTAATCTAATTTAAACGGTGGAAATTTGAAAGGTTTTAAGCTTTTAAAGAAGACAGGAAAATCTGTACGTGAAAACCTGAGCGGATTTGATCACTTTTTGGATTAGGCCTGATGATGAAGAGCATAAAAAGCCTGCTACTCTGTAATTAGAATAATTATCTTTGGCAATGCGGAACTTGGCGGGAATTATGCTTTCAATCGAAAATGAATTAAAAGAACGAAAACAAAGGATATCATATTGGTTCTTCAAATAAACTGATAACGTGCCGCTATGAAGCAAAGCGACAATATTGCCATCTTAACCGTCAACAAATGCATCATTTGTGAAAGAATAAGTTTCCGACCTGGACTCGTATATTAAACTCCGGAGATGTTGTTATTTGAGCCGACTTCGAAAAAGAAGGGAGCAGTGCTTCTCTTTCCAACGAAAATGAAACAAAACCGATTGTGGGTAGACAACATGCGTATATATTGCATCTCTGTTGACCAATTTGTTTCAGCTCTGCTCACATAGTTTTCATCTTTTTGAAGCAGGAAAAATTACGCAATGAAGGTTACTTGAAGTTAGTACAAAAACTACGGCGAAAAACGGACAGAATTTTCCCTTGGAAAACTGAGATCGAGAGAGTCAAGGACTTCTAACATGTCATTTAATTTCAAAACGAGAAACAAGGCAAACATATTTCGGTTTTCCTTCATTAGAGTTTCAGTACTCCTGAAGATTTAGAAATGCGTGATTACTGTTTGCTTGAGTAACTTCAATTTTTTTGTGTTATTCAGCAAACTTGAAAAGAATAAATTGTCGCTGAAGGTTTTCGCTAAATCCCGTATTAACCCTCGAGATACTTCCCTCAGCAGTTGTAAACTTGCCAGGAAAATATATAGTTCTTTGCGGATATTGAACCCTTCCGAGGCTATTACCTTCTATAAAAACATTCCTGGTTAGGAAAAAACTTATGAAATACCAAGCATTTAATATTTAAATGAAACGACGTGATATATTTACTCAAATCACGTCAATTAAAGCGAGAGTTTACTTTAGCCATGGAAGTATTTTATGCAACGTAGCGGCATTGCGTTTTTAATTGAAGTAACGGCATATTGAAGAGTGGCAAGTTAAGCGGGTTGTTGCATTGGTATAGAATGCTTTGCCATGAGAACGTTACCCAGAACAGTAAATTCGTTTAAGAATTACAACGTTTTGGGTTGATAGTTTGATTCAGAAATAATTTTACTTGATTATTAATTCAACGAAACAGGAAAAAAGCTTGAAAGCAGCTGGGGGTAAATGATGCGTGAAGAGCTGAACACAATGGCACACGATATTAAATTGTCTTTCACAAACAAAAGTGCTCATCCATTGATGCTAAAATTCTAAGGATCGAAACGTGTTAAGACAAAGCCCTTAAAATGGGAACCCAGTTGCACTAAGCCTCCAGGTTAACAAGACGAAAACTACTTTCGACTAAAACTTTTACACTTTCCTTGAAAATATTTCATACCATCGAAACCGACACTGAACAAGTCCAAACAACTTGCGTTTTCCTAACTTTAACAACTGTTGCGAATTATTCAGCCCGTATGAAAGTTCGTTAATTAATCTCAAAGATGTTTTTTTTCCCTTTTATTGTCTATATCGTATTGATAAAGAGCTTTGTTCTTTCAACCGTGATAAGTCCATTATATAACAAGTGGCACATGATCACTTGTTTTCGAAATCGCTAACCAGTTTTGACATCATAATAGCCTGTGTGCATATGACGCACGTCAGTAGTAAGCCGAGCAGCCTACCGGTGCGGCAACGTTTTTACTCCAAGCTCTCACAAATCAAGTGAAAAAATCAAAGCCATCAGCATTGTTGAAGTGCAACTGGCGAAATTTGATCTTTCCCGAAGAGGACGGAGCAACTCATAGAAAGTGGCATAAGAGAGGGATTAAATATGATGGTAGGTTTTCGCGCCGAAACTGACATAATCCACGTAACTTTCCGGCCATAACAAACTTCTCGTTTTACATATTCGTAGACGGGCTATAATTGGTTTTTGTAGTGTAAGCGAAGTTCTTCACTTCTCAGCCAAAGCTGATCCTATGGCCATTTTATCGAACGTTTCTTGCCTAAAATAACTGTTGTTTTGTGCTAATGATCTTTACGACTACCTGAAGCGTGTGGAATTTTTTCCTGTTTCGGACTTTTTTGATTTTTCGACCTAGGACCTTATATTCTTCAGACACTTGTAGCAAAAGGTAGAGGAATATTCATTCTAGCTCGCAAGGCGCCAAATAGTGGTTTTACTCAATATCACGAGTGATGTTGGACGGACAGCGAGCGTAACGTGTTTATGACTTACTTCAGGAATTCACGCATGAGCGATTCTTTATTCATCAAACATGTGCAGGCAGTGGAGTATAAAATTAATTACTTGCAGCACGCCAAAACTAAGCAAATAAGTGTAGTTAACTTCGCTTGTAGCCGTTTTGGTTACTTCTCGACAACTGCAGTTTTTACGACTAGTACGAATTTGATTTTACAATCTTGATTGACTACAAGTTTTGAGTTACCGCAAGTTACCGTTACTTCTTTTCTACACTCAGACTATGCAACTTGTTTTGTTTGCAACTTTTTGGACCATGAATTTTTCTATAATCCCTGCAAGACTTTATCATATCTTTTACTGAGACGAACATTTTTCAACTTTGTCAGCTTGATTACCCACAAAACGTTGACAATATCGCGAAAAAGGATTAAGTAATAGTAGGATATTAAGTTTGAAAACAACGGACCTTTCCTTGATCGTTTAGTTCATATTTTTAACCTAATTTTCTTCGTAAATTTTTAATATTTAAATAACCTCAATGTTGAAGTGTGTTTTGTTTTGTTGTAAAAAGTCTCAATTCACATGTATGCATCTTTAATACAATAATAATAGATTTCTATTTACATTGTGATATACATTTTTCAGAAAGAAAACGTGACATTGACTGTTTTTTTTAAAATTTGGTATTAGTAAATCAAAACTATATGTATTATACTTTAAATTGATCAGCAAAGCCTAGGAGAAACTATTTGTAAAAGAACAAAGAAAAATTATGAAGGTTTTTCAGTATTGCAGTTTAACGTTGCTTGGAAACCAATGTAAATACCGGTGTGTAAACACATGGATAAATGACTCATTGCCGAGTAATTTTCTTGAAATAACTGATCAATATGTCGGATAATGAACTCCAATATTAGAAATATATAATATAAGTAGGTTCCATTTGTTACACTGCTTAGATCTAAAGCACTTCTGATATTTAACATATTGCGTGATGTAAAGTTGTTATATTGGTAACTGACTGTAAAGCGCATTTGCTTCTGTCTTGTCCAGGTGCCAATTTTCTATTTATTTATTTATTTTTTGTACTGAACTATTTTTAACTTTAAAGAAGAATTAATTCATGTCGTCCATTGTTTACAAATTTATCATAAGTTATTGCTCAGTGACCTGTAGATTTTTTGAGTACGGGTTTCTTGACTTATCTTTTGGCGTGATATTAACAACTTTTAGAAAGATATAAATCGAGATTTGTCGCACTCAATTTTGACAACTAAGATTCTCCCCACTTTTTAGTTTAATTACTTTTCTGATGGGCAACTCTTAGCTTAAGATATAAAATTCATCAGTTATACTGATGTTTGGCGCTTAAACACAAAGAATATATGACTCTTCAAATTTGGAAAAAGGATACTTTTTGCTACTTACAGTTCAAACGTACGTTTTTGTCGCTCTGAAACTGCACATGTTACGTTTATCGTCTTTACACCGTTTCAGACACTCGCTTGGGGCAATTTGTGATATTAGAACACCTTTGTAGTCAAATATTCAAGGGACGTAATCGCATTGAACTTTTAAATATATTGATGCGACGTATAAGAGCGGTTGCAGTGTAACGACAAAAATAATACATTTAATTGAGGCACAGCTATATTAGTGTTATTTACAAAATACAGTTCCCTTTTTGTCTCAAACAAAAATAGCAAATTCAACGCAGGCACGTAGTTTTTGTTCTCAGGCAAACATCTCGGGGTTATATCTCTGTTGAGCAATATTGACCTACATGTAGATGAGATCGTGCTTTAAGATTTAAACTTTATAGCATTTAACCTAATTGTTAAGGTTAAAATAGGCATTTTTATAAACGACTTTGTTTATAAATAGACTTACAATCAATTAGCAAAGTATCATTTGTTCGTTTTACCTGCGTCAATGTTTTGATTTAAACCGCACAGCGCAAAAAATAGTAAGTTTACATAAGTGGCTGTTGCTTGCTTGGATTTTAAAGTTCACCTCCTGTTTATTAAGTTGCCATGGCAAGTTATCGGCGAATGAAAAGTCTGATTTAAAACAAGGTCACAACATAACAACAAGTATTGTACTCTGAGGATCGAAATTGCTCACATTGAAATAAAATTGTCGTTTCTTCGCGTGGATCTTAATGATATCACCAAAAGAGCCCTCTAAGGCCAGAAAGCTTAGAACTGTTATACGAGGTGAAAAGAAATTTTCTACCAAGCGATGGTAAGTTTTATTTAGTCTTAGTATATATTTTGCATAAAAAGTACAATTTGTGGAGTCTTGACGGGGAGTTCCGTGATGTCTTTTTTGAGCAAAAATACAAGCAATTATTTGAGCCAGAAGAGCCCTTTTACCTTTATAAATTCGGTATCTGATTAAAGCCATTTTTCACAGAACTGTTTCTGATATTTTGGAAAAAGATTTATGGATTAGATAACCACGAAAATATAGATTACGTACCGAAAGTAGCAAAAGTGTGTTGTGAAGGAAATGAAAAGATAAAAGGCATTTTTAAGACGTCTGCAGAACCTTTCCTTTCCCCCTTCACATGTCTTTATCTGATTGAAACTAGGAAACGTGAATAAATATTTTTCTAGACGAATATATTACAAGGACAAGGCTAATATACGCATACATAGTTTTTATATCCCTCACTCGATCTTCCAATCTGTCCAATATCACATATAATCAATTTAATTTTTTCGCTTTGTTAGACGTTACGTAAGTGGTGACGTCAGTGGAAATAATTATGGAAATAATCCGGCAGAATTTACCACAACATACCTTAGAATGTTTTTGTTTTTATTATTATTATTATTATTATTATTATTATTATTATTATCATTATTATTATTATCATTATTATCATTATTTTGAGAAAAAACCCTTTACTTAAAGTGTATCTGAAGTTAGAGGCAACAGGACCAAGAAGAGTCACTTTACTTTCGGTCAGTTACTTCATTTTACGAGAATACAACTTTAACATCCATTGAAAACCAGACTGATCAGTTGACAAGTAAATTATTAGAATTAACTTATCTCCTAGTTATTGATACTTATGACCCTTTTGTAAACATAAACTGATACATAAACTGTATCGTTTTCCAATATAGTTTATTAAAACCAAACACCAAACTTTGCTTCTCATAGTTTTAACACTTATTACTTAGTTTAATGTATCTCTTAACCAGTAAAATCTCGCCACGTTTTCTAGTTTTTGCTGTCTTTAACGCTTCTTAACGTTTCGAATACTGGAGAAATCAGGTGGAATCATCTTTGCTTGTTACGAAATTTATGACAAGACTATTACTTATATTAAAGCACTGAATATAAAAGTCACCTAAAACAAAGAGGGCAACCAATACTGGATCTTTATATAGGTTTTCTGTCGTCACAAATCTATTTCTGTGTCTTGTGACCTATGTATAACAAAGGTGCTTTTCATCTTTTATTACTGCGGCTTACGTAACTATGTTAATAAATAATATCTTCGATTCGAGAGGAAATTCATAGTGTGTTCGCCTACAAAAGTGATTGTGAAGTTATCTTCAAATAACGCCAGTAGCGTTGAAAATTTCCAAAGTAACGCGTTTTGTTTTGCAATGCAGTCGTCAACTGTTGAAAAGGCGGCGTATTTGAGACCACAGTTCAACCCGGTAAAGACAAAACAGCAGAAGGAAGCAGTGAAGCCCAGTTTTTTTAAGTTTACCGAGCAAGATTTATATGATTACCTGCATCAGAAGAGTGGAAAAGTTGAGACGATTAATCTTGAAGAATCCAGGAATAGGAAACTGGAAGACAATGGTGCGGGGACGGAGAAACAGTCTTCGTGTAAGTTAATCTGTATCTGTTCTAAAGTTCTCTCTTTTTTTGTTTGCTTGTTTACTTGAGAATAGTGTGATATGCGGACAGAGAAACTATTTAAAGTAAATTTCAAAGCGGAAAGTTGTCTGTTTTAGCTAAGAAAAGCACTTAGTACAACCCAAGATTTCCGAGATTAACACTTAAGTATAACGGAGCATCTTAAATTGGTAAGATCAGCTCGCAAAAACGTTTCATGTACTCGTCAAACGTCCATAATTTTGGAGATGTCATGGTTTGGTACGATAACCTAGGTTGGATAGTAGAGCCTGCTTCAGTTGCATAACAACCAGTCAACATTCAGCTAAAAATCTGGTCGCTAGTCAGTTGTTAAAAAGGGTATCGGGGACGACTGAGAACAATCTTTTAGTTAACTGAAATTTCAGGCGGGCCACTTGTTGAAACTCCATCCAAACTTTCCGAGATAAACATAGATATATCATGGCATACAGATGGAAAATAGAACTCATTCCATGTTTTACCTTCAGTTTGCAGAACATGTAACAAGGTATACAACATACGCTGTCCTATTCACTCATCCCACAACACACCTGACCTTAGCTACCCAGGGGACTGGGACAGCTATGCCATGAAGTCATTCCCTGATGTGGTGCAGTTGTGTAAATCCAGCATCCCAGGCAAGAAGTATGGCGTGGCTGCCAAGCAACACATTCCTGTGGGTACGTGGATAGGTCCTTACGAGGGAAAGCGAATTAATCCAGATGAAATCAACCCAAACATGGACTCCTCGTACTTGTGGGAGGTATGAGAACAAAACAAAAATTACTTGTGTTTAACTGAATGTTACTGACTTATTGAGTGAAGTGTTTCCAGAGTGACTTGACTAAACTCCATCTTCCGAACCTGTCTATTAGTGTAGCTTGTTTACATCTGACAAACTAGGTTAATGGTTTTGTGAAGTCATTATCTATCGAGTTTATTTCCTTGATACTCCAAATTAGTGCCTACTCTTCTCCGACAATATCTTCTTGCAATAGATATTGAGCTGATTTATAAATCCTGTTTTGAGTGATATTTCGTTTTACCGTTTAGCTAGTTGTAAAGACCACAAACTGATTACAACAATGTATCCGTTTTTACCTACACAATTACTGATTTCGCTTTTACAATAGAGAATTAATCATTAACTTCATTCTCTTTAATCTCAGATTTACAAAGATGGCCGCCTCTTGTACTATCTTGATGCGACAGACGAGGCCACCTCAAGCTGGATGCGATTCATAAAATGTGCTCGTCACAGAAACGAGCAAAACCTGTTTGCTTTCCAATACTGTGGCAATGTCTACTACCGAGCCTTCAGAGAAATTCCCATAGGGACAGAGTTACTGGTGTGGTATGAAGATCTCTACCCGCAGTACTTTGGGATTCCGTTAAGCATACACGACTTGAATTCAATGGGTGAGTCAACGTTTTCTTCCGTTGTTATGTATTTTATTACCCGGTGTTTATTTATGTTCAAGTAAATGAAAACTGCTGCGTAGGGACGATTTCGGAAATTTTAAAGATCTCAAAGATTTACAAGTGGGCCAAAGACGGCGCGAAAGACGTTGTCTGTTTGGGAATCTGGTACCCAATTAAGTCTCGCAACATGATAGTTCTGCAATGTTTAAACTTTTTAAACTGAAGATTTCTCATTACATTTTGACGACTTTGTTTTGCAACTTTCACTCTTAACTTGACATCAACAGAACTGAACAGTACTTATTTTTTCGCCTCAGGTTCCAGGCCTTACCCAGTGATGGCGACGCCGTACGCAGATGAACAACAAATTTCCCCCGTTCCTCCTCCGACCTCTGCTGCTATGAGACAAGCGTCTCCGCAGGTGACTGGACCTAACCAGAGAACATCACCGCGTGATTCGCCACAAGCAAGAACCGCGCAAGAAAGAGAACTTCAAGCAAACAAACAGATACAAAAGGAAAGCATCAAACGAAAGCACGAAGAAAACGACCGCAGCAACAATGCTAAGAAGGTGAAGTTGCAGAGCACGCAGAAGATTGACGGTCCAAAAGAGATGCTACGGAAGTTAGAAGAGGCACGTCTCAAGGACAAGACAGATCTGCCTTGTGAATGGCCGCGTGTAGCTGACGGAGAATTCATCTTGGAGAATGGCGAACCAAAGATATGGCATTGTGGTCAATGTGACAAATCTTTCGCTCAGCGCAGTCTGCTTCAAATGCACGTCTGTTCCAGAAATCCAAACAGACCTTACCAGTGCGGTCACTGCGCACAGGAGTTCGCGCATCCTAACGAGCTGCGCACGCATGCTGTCATTCATTCTGGCAAAAAGCCATTCAAGTGCGGATTTTGCTCGCGAACCTTCGCCGGAGCCACGACTCTTAACAACCATGTCCGAACCCATACAGGAGAGAGGCCTTTCACCTGTAACAAGTGCTACAAAACTTTTTCACAAGCATCGCAACTCAGCAAGCACAAGAGATCCCTCTATGAATGCTTCTCTTGAGAATTTTTCTGTCGTGAGGACCCCAAGAACAATTTTACATTAGCAACTATAAGATTGCGTGGAGTTGTAAACATTTATATATCACGTTATAAAAAGAGACTCTTGTGTATTTTATAATTAGAAACACTTTGAGCGTAACTCTAAGTAATTTGTATTTCAACGTGTTTTCCTACCTTTCATTGTGGCGTTTTAGTCACACCGGATTTTAAACAACAACGACAGAAAATAACTGTTGGTCTTAACCAGTTAAGTGATTTACAAGTAATATTTACCTGTTTCATTATCGAGTCTTTAAAATTGTTGTTTTTTTACTTATTTCTAACCTTAGCTAGTTAAACTAGGGATGCGTTTCTTTGGAAAAATCCAAGATTGTTTTTTTCAATAAAAGCAAAAACGGATTTTGCCTTTCTGTACTAAACAGATTCATCCATGATCACATTCTTTGGTTCGTTTGATGCACCATGATCCGAGTGATCCTCGATTAATCTGTTTAGTAAAGAAACGCAAAATCCGTTTTCGGATTTAAGAATCCAAACTTCGATTTTCCCAAAAAAATTGCACCCTAGTTTAAAAGATTACGGAAACACTGCGCAAATCCGTTTGTGTATTAAGTAATTATTTTAATCAATGGACTCGTTTCAACAAAAGAAAAACTGACGTAGTTCATGTTATCGCAATATTATGGATGAAACTTCACCAGGCGCTCATCACTCAGGAGAATCCAATGGAAGTCATTTTCAGAAAAATTTACCTTTCGTCACCATGGAGATCATAAAGATACAAATTACAGAGGTTGACGACAACGTATCATTAGTATTCTAGAAGACAATCTGCAGGTTAAAAATAGATGTAAATATTGACATAATCTCCTGAGTAATGAGCTCATGGTTATTTTAATTTTATTTTTTTCCAGAAATTCCTCGACTGTCTAGACCAACTCTAAAGGGACACCATAAGTGCTGACGTATATGCGTGTTAAGCTCAAGAGCGAAATATATTTATATACTTGTAAATAAACAGACATTGCTGTATATTTTTGGAAAACCTTTCAAAAAGGTTCGAGAGCAATACATTCGTTTTCTTAATGTATATTTACTTGTGCTTGTAAAATATCACCAACCGGTATTCATTAAAATACACTGCGTTCGTTATTGAAATTCCTTTATTTGAAATTCCATGGAAAAATAGCATTGTTTTAACGTTTCTTCGATAAAAGAAACAAAATTTCTCGCCTTGTTTCCACATAAGGGAGAAAGGTTTTCCACGAGTTGCCGAATTTTTCTTTAAAAAGTTTCCCCCAATTTGTTAAAACGAAAACGAAACTTTTTTCTGTCATTTGCTCTAATCACTCTAAGAAAGTAAGCTTTCCAAGGCTCTAAAAACCATCTCATCTTTATAAGGTATGTTATCTTTCAAACGTGAAGATATCGACATTTATGGAAAAATGTGATGTGTAATACGGTTATGCTAAATGAGCCAAAAACTGTCGATATCAAGTCAAAAGATTTTCGGAACCTCCTCGGAAATCTCCGGCAGACGTCGAGAATCTTACTTAAAATTCGTGATATTCGGGAACGCATGTATAGCCTTTAGGAAACATATTCGGAGATTATTCGGAAATATTCAGAAAATGGTAAGACGAATATAAACACTAAAAGCTGCTCCGATTTCTCAGAATGGTTAAAAGTGGCTTAGAATGCAAAAAGGTTTCAATAATTCATAGAGGGAAAAAGACTTTGTTCGAAGGGAAAAATTTGCTCCAATCAAGAGAAGTTGCCATGCAACTTTTCTTTTGAATTTTATTAATTTTTACTGTACATTTTAGTAAAATTACACGAAAAGAAATGCATTAATACTAATAGAACAAATTTAAAATTTTACAGATGTATTTGTCTCCATGAAATAAAACAAAAAAATTATAAAGAAATGAGCACTAAAAGCAGAAATAAAGAAAAACACTAGGGGAAGACAGAGATACTCAAATATTGACATACTCGAGTGCAGAGCTTACTGATACAGTATCAGACCTTTTCACACTTTTTATATAGCTTGGCAAGTTTATCATTAGAGTGGAACTCCGTTAATCAGGCCACCAAGTTAATCAGTCTATTTAAAGTGACATCTTGACAGATATATCTCAATTACACTGTTCTTTAACACGCATTCGAAATGCAGACACAAAAATTATATTTCACAGACTCCGTTCAAAGTGTATGAGACAACAAATGGTAGGAATTTCCCGGTTAGTGCTTCAAACCACTTCTAAACGCCAACAGAAGGGCGAACCCCC